TACAATAATGTAAATGTAAAATTACACAATACATAAACATAAACATACATAACTTGCATAAAATCAAAGATATTAGATCTGTAGCCCTATTCGGACTGCCATTTCAAGGCGGGACACAGACAGAGGTGTGATTGGGGGGGTGAAGTGATACCACGTCTGTGTCGCCTTTGAAGGTAGGAGCGTAGTTGTTACAGGGGCGAGGCAGGATCTGCGGAGGTCGTAGGGGAGAACATCGCTGAGTGTTTGTGACCGCTGTTTGTTTACATGTTGTGCTTCAGCAAGGCCATGACGACACGTATCGCGACATGACTTGTAACGACCGTATTGGGATTTGTATCTCTAGATGTCAATACGCTGCCATTGTAAAAGTATCAAAGTATCAGGATTTTTTAGCAATGCTTGTATGATAATGATGTTTCTTTCATGCAAATAAAGCAGTGATTTTACATCATCAGTGAGACTTTTACAAGGAGTCCACCCTGTAACAACCGCGCTGCATCTGCCTTTCTCAAAGGAGTTTTCAAGGAGGGTGGTCAAAGCTTTCAGTATGAAAAAATGAAAGCTGACACTCTTTCAGTCCGGGCTATATCCTTTTCATAATGATTTCTCGGAGAGTGAGCTTTGATCTGTTACAGGCTGACATAAGAGCCAAGGCCCACCAGAGGCAGCTAAAACAGAAAAAGGATCATGACATAACCAAAAAACTGCAGAGGATTTGCACCAGGAGGCATTCTGTTCACCAGAAGTCTCTTAACGGACCCAAAGTACATCCCATTTGCTCTCAAGCAAAACATATATAAGTGTTCACTTTATGCATTATAGTCCGTTTTTAGCCTAACCTGATACTCACTATTCCAGAGGCTGACCTTGAAAGTAACACGAGGTCATTATAAGTTGCCACTGATCTTATGAGAAGGTAAGATACTGGCCATGAAGTGACTAATCCAAATGAAATTGAGTCTTAGTTCTAGATTCTACACAAGGAATACACTGGTTTTAGATTTTGGGGTGGGAGAAATAAACAATTACCTGGACCGTACATGGTATTATTGAATCACCTGAGTGGAGAAATCAGAATACTGGACAGCAGATCCCTAAAAATAATAATTACATGGAAGAAGGGGGTGTGAGTGGGAGCTTGTCGTATTTCCAAGCTGCGTCTTCTCAATCTAAAAGCTCCAGTCTTTTACCAAACAGAGCTCAGAGTGCTGTATACTCATTTTATATAAGTTGTATGTGGGCTTTGTCAGTGGAAATTAAATTCAACGATCAACTTTGGGGGCTGAAGACTGACAGGAATGAGCTAAACCTGTGCCCCCCCCCCCCCAAAAAAAATGATATACATTAATGGAAATGTTCTGAAGCTGATAATGTCAAATAGAAATGGCCCATATCACAGATATCATAGCTGCAAACATAATGTGTTATCCTGTATTTGCCAACTTTGGAAACCTTTTTTAATAACAAAGAAAGTTGTATTTAGTGTAGTTTCAAAATGGTATCATCATGTTGTTTGTCCAGCAGACCAGTCAACAATAAAATACTGTCATCATCACTGTCTGCAACACGTCTATTTGTTGACACAAATAAGAAAATGTATAATATCTTTTAATTAAATTATTTGTTCAAGAAATCGGCCTTCTAAGTACCCCTGATAGTCATATCACTAATGCTCATCTGCACATATATAACAGCTCTATATTCAGCCTGATCAAAAAATATTCTATAACGACTTGCATATCTCTAATTGGTGAATATTTTTCCTCTCTAAAAATTGATATTGTTATGAGTCTCAAAAGCCCCATATCGCTAAATCCCTAGTTAATGTGAAAAAAAGCATCTCCAGGCTCTGTAGGAAATAGACCTGCTCATGCTGACTAATAGTGATTGGCACAAGTGCGTACAGGAACAATTAGACTCCCGTCTTGGGGCTTAATTTCCTCTCGTTGGGCTCACACCAGCTGCAGAGACTTGATGAAACCGTCAAAACCCACGCATGTTTTTTTTTTTCTTTAAGTATTGCAACAGTTTTCTCTTTTTTCTCTTATGGCAACATACATCTGAAGGTGAGAGGAACAGTATGGAAAGACCTGACAAAATGAAGGAGACCGAGAGGGGGGCAGGGGGAGAAAGAGAAAGATGGATTTTGGCAGCAGAGATCCCTGGAGAGCTGGGCAGTCTGTCACCAGCACCGCTGCCATCTCTTTAGTCCTTCCTTTCGTATCTTCTTTTGCATTCGTTCATACTTGCATTCATGAAAGGTTCATGGCCGCTTCCATGTCTCTCTCACGTTCCTCTTCCCCTCTCTTTGACTACTCTACACATTTAGCCCAATCAATGCACTTAGAGACAGACGTTGAAAGAGGATGTAAAAGAAGAGACATGGGGGGTGAGGATGAAGAGGAGAGGCTGGGGTTGGGATTCAAAGAGTAAACGCTTCAGGAGGTGGAAGGGAAGATTTTGGGAAGGAGAAAAAAGGAAGGATGATGTGGTAAAAAGGCAGACAGAAAGCAAACAATGTGATATTGAATTACCACTAAAGATAATTCTGATGTCTTTTTTAAAGTTCAGTCTATTTTTGGATCCCTAAGTGTGCAGCTTGATGTTTTCAGGAGCTTCTGCGGAGAGATGATGGATTGGTAGAGCGTAGGTGCCCTCTACTCTGCCTTTCGCTACTTGCCCTTGACGTGCAGTCGTAAAAAAAAAAAAAGAGAGAGAGCGACAGTGTGTGTGTGTGTGTGTGTGTGTGTGTGTGTGTGTGTGTGTGTGTGTGTGTGTGTGTGTGTGTGTGTGCAGCAAGCCAAATATGCTAGTGGATAGCAAATCGTGGCTGCACTGAAGGAGTGAGAGATAAAGAGAAAGTGGGGGGGGTGTGCTGACAGGACAGGGGGACTTGGCCGAGAGGAGAGGACATCGGTGTCATTCCATTTTTTTTGTCATCTGCTTTGTTGCTTTTTTTTTTTTTTTTGCATTGTCGCATCTAGCACAAGGTGGAGGATGCCAGCATGGAGAGGGCATGCAAGTACAGACGAAAAATATGCAAGAAACAGCCCAGGTGTGTGTTAACGGTGCTTTTTCGCTCTCTTGTCTATGTTTCTACGACATACAACATGCATAGAACACCCTCCTATCCTGAAAAACCCTCCCTCCCTCATTCACACGTACACAAATTTGAAGCAGCCTGATGTCGGAGTGGAGTCAGCCAGCTAGAGAACAGTCTAGAAGCATCGTTCTAATCTAAATTATTCACATACCCTCCTCTGGCTGCATTACAATTTGAGAGCGTGCGTGGCAGCGTGCATGGATAGAGAGTGTTGTGGAGAGGGGAGAGGGGCACATTAGACCGTCTATGTCTGTGTATCTAATGTATATGTGTGTGTTTGAGTGCACTGTAACATGATGTCTCCACAGTGCAAGTAAGGCCGTGTCAAAGTGAGCACTTAGAGCGAGGCATAGACAGTGTGTGTGTGTGTGTGTGTGTGTGTGTGTGTGTGTGTGTGTGTGTGTGCCTAATATGCAGCACTTACGATGGCTAAAGGTTAGTGTAATGCTCTTCTTTGGTCAAGACCTCAACTTACACTGTAGATCTGAAATTCAACACTGTTTACAAAACACAAAGATAAAGATCATTAAATACACACAGTCACACTGAAGGTCGTCAAGCTTGTGTTGCTTTCAAGACAAACATTTGCCTTTTTTTTTTTTTTTTTTTTTAACAGTCAGACCAAACTTCTACTGGACTTGAAAAAAGATACCAGTATCTGAAATTCCATTGCATCAGCAAAAAGATCAGAAACTGACCTTCTATAAAAAAAAGTGACACTAACACACTAGAGCCTCCTCTAATAAAATAAACGAGACTTGAAATCAAGAAGTGACAACGGCAACAATCGAAACGTTAGCTAAAGCTGCCAGAATGTTAGCAGTCAATGTTATCCCATCACACGTTTGAAGGTTGTATGTTCTTTTCTTCATTTTTCTAGGAGTACAAATAATGAAAGTGTAAATAATCAAACTAGATAAAAAAATTAAAATAAGCAAAGCAGCTGAGACGTTGGGTCCCAGGTCGAGCTGCAGCTAAGCAGAGACAAGCAGTCAAGCGAAGGGGAACCTACAGTATATCTGCCAATTCTCAAGTCTATTGAAAACTGGCTGATATGTGTTGGTATTGTAACATATTATTATGCATTTTTGAAATTAGAACTACAGCTTGCCAGATTCAAATGTTATGAGTGGATTTTTACAAAGTTCCATTTTCCAGCCAAGTTTCCCCAACCCTCCTGTGGGGTTGGGACCCCAACGTTTAAAAAATACTGCCCTAAGCAAATATTAAGAGCAGCCTTCTAGAATATTTACACTGACAATGCTTAGATGATACGGTAGGGATACAAATTGAACATTTTTTTTTTACATCTTGATCCAGTTAGCATGCACACATTTGCACTAAATAATGAGTAGAGTTGCTGGGAATCAAAAAGGTACCTGATGCGATAATGGTTTCAGGGAATAAAAAAAAGATCTGTGTTATCCCCAACATCAATTGGAATCATCCTGCGGGTTATGGATTGTCTGTGCCAGATTTCATGGTAATTCATACAATCTAAAGAGATATTTCCCTTGAATCCAAAGGCTAAAGAAAACCTTACATCCACCAAAATCATTTGGATAATGAAGGTAGGTAAAAAAAAAAAATCAATGCCAATCTACCTAATGGTTTCTGAGATATTTTAGTCTTAACCAAAGTGCTGGATTGACCCACATTGCTCTCCCTACAGCCAAACCACTTCTTACCAAATAGAATAGTGAAATTTGTGTTGCAGAGATGGTTCCCTGGGTTTTTTGGGCGTACGGGTCAAGGAACTGATAGAATGTTTCCCATAATGCAGCTCAGTAGTTTCTTTCTTTGACTCTCCATTGCCGTTCCTTCTAATTGGTGCTATATTAGTCCCATTTTCATTACAGAACACTTTAGGCTAACACTTTTCTGTATGTTTTTCCAGCAACGGCCACTCCAGCAGTCTCTGGCCTCCTCCCTGTGTCGGGAATCCCATTGGAAGTGCCTCCTCCTGACCCTCCTCATGTACGGCTGCTTCGCCACGCTCGCCTGGTGCGCCGTCTGTCGTGTTCCTGTTCTTGGCTCCTCCTCCATACCTATCGGTGGTGACGACAAGGCCACGTCGCCGGCCGCGGCCTACTATCACGACATCCCGCACTTGGAGAGCCCGTGTTCCAGCGGCTATGTCTACATCCCCCTGGCCTTCCTGGCTATGCTGTATGTGGTTTACCTGGTGGAGTGTTGGCACTGCTTTTCTAAGACGGCAATGTTGGCTCATGCTGAATTCCAGGTGTGTGTGAAAAACAGTATTAGCACTGTGTTGAGCAATGACCAACCAAGGGGGAAAAAAAATATCCTAAACCAGGCCGAGTGTAGAATGTAAAGCTGCAATAAGAGTCAAGCAATCAGTCTGTGACCTTGAGCTACACAGCAGAATCTGTTTACTCACTGATTCCTTTTCACTCAGTGGGTGTCAGCAAAATGAAGAGGTCTAAGTAATGCTGTAGTTAATGTATGCACACACAGTTGCTTCTCTGGAGAACTATGGCATAATTACAAGCCTAAATAGTCCATTATTGAATGCGGCATGGTCACACGTTTTCAAGGAGAGAACAATGTTTTACTCCTGAGTGTGGAGAAGATGAATACTTGCTCTCTCACATGGAAATGAGCTGACCTGGGGGCATCAGTCTGTCTTTTGTCTATTCTGGTCCGCTCGGTCTATTATCAGGAGTTCCATGAGCACATTGCCCACTGATCATCTTAACCATCTGCCAAAAACAAAATATGTTTTACGTTAGTCAGGACTGTCAGGAGACACAATGTTCTATGGTTTAAAACAGCTCTGCGTAGAGAGTAAAAAACAAACATCGCCCTGAACAAACCAGGGCAGGGCCTGACATGCACCAGATTGAACAGACTGAACTATTCTGTACGCAAACAATAGGAACTTAATTGTTTCTTTCTGCTTATTTTTTTTTTGGGGGGAAGCACATTCAAATGGGACATTCATTTACTAATATTGTTTTTTGTTTTTTTTTCATTTTTTGACCCAGGAAGTGTATGAGCGTGTGCAGAGACTTCAGCAGGCCACGCCCTGCATTTGGTGGAAGGCCATCAGCTATCACTATGTGAGGAGGACCAGACAGGTGACAAGATACCGCAATGGAGATGCATATACCACCACACAGGTAAGGAATTCTATTTCTCAAACACATACTAACGCTTCCCCATTGTTGTTTTTTTTTTTACATTGCTCATAGTTAAAATGTTAACGTAAGTTGTTATTTTATAACTGCCATGCAAATCTTAATTTCTCCTATAGTGAAATATTGCGGGGCTGTGTGCAAACAGCTTTGTGCAGTAAGAAATCATTCTATTAAGTAAACAAGCCTTATTGAAGCTGAAGAATATATAGAGGTTTAAAATATCTTCATAACAGGATCCTTTGTTTTTTTCTGTTCTCCCTCGTCCTCATTTTCCCCAAAATCAAACTCTACCTCCCCTTTTCACCCTCCCTTCCTCCTTCAGGTCTACCACGAGCGAGTGAACACTCATGCCTCCAGTTCAGAGTTTGACTACGCCCGCTATGGAGTCAAAGACGTCTCAAAGGAGCTGCTGGACCTGCAGCTGCACCCTGCTGTCCGACTCCGTTTCACCAAGTGTTTCAGGTGAGATCCCCAACGTTTAACGTTCAGCTGGTCAATCAGAAGACGTGATGAGAAAGTTCACCAGTGTTCAGAGTGTAAACAAGCTGTTCAGCTGTTTCTCTGCTTTTTAGCTTCTCCAGTGCACGCGCTGAAGCTGCCTACCTCACCCAGGTAAGATATGGTAGAAAAACTATTATGTAAGACAGTGAAATATGCAGTCTGTAACTCATGATTGTTATTCTGTTATTATAGAAATCTGTTGATTATTTGACCATAATATAAAAAAAAAAGGACAGATGCAAAGCCCAAGTTTCTAGAGAACAAGGTGTTATCTTTTTAAATAATTGTTTGCTAACACTCGGCAACCTTGGTAACCACTGCTACATAAGGGCCTGTGACCGCTAACTGTTTGTTTGCGCTGGCAGCGTTGATTCTTTACACATAAAAAACCCAGTACAGTTCAGCATTTTCAGCACTCAAGAGTCCTAAGCCCAAAAACACCCACAGTTTCAGCTGTTGCTTGTCGCTGCACTCGCACACACGCAGTTGAAAAGATTTTAATTTTTTTTTTTTTGAACAAGATCGTCAATTTCACTTCTTTCTTCTCAGTTCTTACATAGCTGATTAGTTGTGTTGTCCTTTTTTGTTATTCCAAGCGAGCACGCTTCTTCGGGGAGAATGAGGGACTCGACGACTACATGGAGGCCAGGGAGGGAATGCACCTGAAGAACGTGGACTTCCGAGAGCACATCCTGGCCTTCCCGGACCCTACTAACCAGCCGTGGTTTTCTCGACACAGGGTCTTCTGGGTGGCGTCTGCTTTCCTCCTGTCATGGCCACTGCGGGTGGTGTCAGAATACCGCACAGCATATGTCCACTACCACGTGGAGAAGCTGTTCGGGGAAGACGAGGATGGAGGCGGAGGTGGTGGTGGAGGGCCAGGCGGAGGCGGCAGGGTGGATGGGGTTACAGGAGGGACTGAGAATGGGATCCACCCTGGAGGGATTGGGATTGGAATCGGTCTCAACGGGACGAGTTACAGAGCTATCTCTCGGGTCAACACAGTGGACATGACAGAGTTGGAGTGGCACATCCGCTGTAACCAACAGATGGTCCCGAGCTACTCTGAAGCTCTTCTTATGGACTTGGACATAAGCGGGGGGACAAATAATACAGCCTCTACCCCGATCTCCGGTCCTCCCTGCACCACCCCGAACCAGGGGAACAACCCGCCTCCTCTCGCTCTGCCTGTGGTGTTTAACTCGGCATACCTCCTCCAGAGCTGCCCAGATGCAGGAGGACCACGTCCAGTTCCAGTCTTCCCTCCAGGCTACGGGCCCCAATGGGAACAACTGCCCTCCTGAACGCTACAGTGGCAGGAATCAGGAACGCAGGGCAGGGAGGTGGGGGCATAGGAGGAAGGTTGGTGCTCAGTCGGAGCGGATTCTCTTTAGGGAGACTCGGAGGAGGTCGCCAAAACAGCTTGTTGCACTCAAGAAGCATGGGAGGAGGCCTGGGAGGAAGTAGAGAAGATGGAGGTGGAAGTGGGGGAGGAGGGGGAGGGGGCGGAGGTGGCGGATTCCTCGGGTTAGGCTCAAGGCAGGACAATGAGGAGACAAGGGGAGTGCTCGAAGGCGAAGGGGATGACGACGAGGAGCAGGAGGAGGAGGAGGAGGTGAGGATGAGGGAAGATGGGAATAGAGAGAGGGACGAAGACGCAGAGCAAGAGAGCGGAGGAGGAAGCGAGGGGAGGGAGGGGGAGCGGTGGAGGGAGGGAACGTCCTCCATCCTACCAGGACGCATTCTTCTTCCCCGTCCTCATTATACACGGAGAGGAGAGCTGCCACGCTGGAGACGACATGTGACGATCAAAAAAAAGAAAAAGAAAACGCAGTAAGAGCAAAGGAGTCTGGGCTGAGCGAAAGAACCCACTGAACGAAAAGAAACAAAGGAAATAAGATATGAGAGAAGGATGATATTGTAAAACAATGACAGAGTAGGAAAACGTCACAAGCACTGGAAGTAAAAACTGCTTTGTGGCCGAAAGTGTTACAAAAGGGAGAGAAGGCAGGCAACACACTGACATAAAATGTGAGATAGGATGGAGTCTGGAGTCGCAGTGAGGGCAAGAAAATCCACGCAACGGTAGTCTTTGCTGCACAGACATTGACAGACAGAGACAGAGCGATGGGGGGGGGGGCGAGATTGCACACTCCACAAAGGATGAAAACTTGGGAATGTCTATTTCCAGATATATCTATGCAAGAACTGGAGTGGGAGGAGTACCAAGTCTAAAAATAGCAGCTTGGAGAGTGAGTGAAGAGACTCCGAAACTAGCTAAGTGGTGGCGGGTATGTTTAAAAAAAAAAATGTAAAAAAGTAAGAGAGAGAGAGAGAGAGAGAGAGAGAGAGAGAGAGAGAGAGAGAATCTAAAGTGGAGGAGTTGAAAAAGGCCTGAAGCTCCGGTTATGCTGAAATCAGGATCCACAGAGGGGAACTAAAAATATTGCTCAATTAAAGAAGGAGATGCGGTAAAACAGAAAGACTCCCTAAATATTTCAGACGACGGAGAAAAACACAAGAGATCACAAAGCAACGCAGAAGAGAAGTAGATAGAGAAAAGCAATGACATGCCACTGACAGGGTACAACACGTTGAGTGAAGCAAAGCAACAAATAGACGGAAATTCAGAGCACCAAATGGACTTTACATTGACATGGAGAAAGAAAAAAACATCAACTCAAGAGGAGGAGAAAAAAAAGATACCGGACAAAACGTCATCTAAGCTGCAGTCCTGATGGTGGAATCTAATCAGGAAATCTAAATATCATTCAAGTAATCCCCCCACCCGAGTAGTTTTTGTGAAACAGGTCCCTGTCACTAATAAGATCTTTCTCAGGTCTTTAAAGGATTTGCTGGAAATGTAACAGTAGATTAAAGAGGAGAGCCATTGATTTCCTCCCTGTGTCTTCATCCTGTCTTGCTCCTCACCTCCCCATTAGCCTCTCCACCACTCTCTATCCATTACTAGTATGAGCTGATAGATGATAAAAAAAAAAAAAACTCCATAAACACACATCCTCTACCTCCCAGCTCTACCCGGTTCCTCTTTCTCCTGCTCCCATCTCCTCCCACTATTTTGTAACCTCTTCCGTCTCAAGTCCCCTCTTCGCACTGAGACTAAGTAAGAAGTGCAGATGTGTAATTCTGATCAACACATCTATTGCGCTCCCGTCTAAGGTGCAACAACTCCTTTTTAATGTAATTAGCACATGCAGTGTTGTAAGTGAAACGAGCGGGTGCTGTACCAAAATAGATTCGCAGCATCCATCATTAACTTTCTCCCTTCCTCTCCTCTCTCTCCGCTGTCTTCTCTCCTCCGCTCCTCCCTCTTTTTCTCATTTCAAAGTAGTCGGTCGTGTGACACACCTCTCTCTGCTCCTGGAAGTGCTCGGATCAGGTTTCATCTGGGCTGACTCCGCACATCAGCTCTCCTCTAGGCAGAGGTTTCTCGTCTAGGACCAGATTATCTCCTTCTAATGCGGATCTATTTTATCGTTGTGTATTTTCAAAGATACAGTAAAGATAAAACATGTGCGTTGAAGGGAAAAAAATAGCAGACGATGTTGGCCTTTAAAGACCGGAAAAGGTTGCTTATTTTCCCTCACAGATTTCCACATTTCCTGTGCTCTAGTTTCAAACATTTGTAGGCAAAAACAGGCAAAAGAAAATATGAAAAGGACTACAATAGCCAGTTAGCCTTCCTCCAATATCAGTATGTTGTATAGCCCACTCCTGGATGTGTTTAGGCATGACAAATCTCTTTTAAGTCCGTAATATTGGACTGCATGGGAATAAAACACGATCTGCCATGCTAAAGCCTACAAAATACATACGAGAAACAAATTGCTTCTTATTTTCAGCGCAGACAAGAAAGTTGCTGAGGAAAATTAACAATAATGAAATAAAAGCAACAGTACGATCACAATGATTAATAAAGCCCGGTCTAGCTGCTACCTCCTCCTCTGAAGAAGAAGAAACACCTGCAAAATAAAGTTACATAGCTCTCTGAAACATCGCCTAACCGGGTGAAAAAGATCTCCGGCATAGAGATGCATGTCACTTAATAACAGCTAGTGTGCAGGAGCTACTAGTAGTTATGTAGCTAACATGTCTGCCATTGCAAAAAATGCGGTGCCAAAAAGCAGTAATCCATGATCCAAACATATTTAAGATATTTTAAACACATGTAGTCAAGAGCATGGACAGGGACCCTTTGGGATTCACTTTGTCCGACATTCTGAGTCCAAGGAGAGGCCCAGTCAACACAGCCATCAGTGCTTCGATGCATATGTTAAAACAAAGCACACTAAACCTGCTACAGTTAGAGTACTTAGATAAACCCTTTCCTACATATATAGTGCCCTTTAAAGGGAACATCGACCTCTTTGGGATGGTGGAACGGCCTCTTTTCTGTCTGCTTATACCGGACATGGCACTGAAAAGCACACAGAAAAGAAGAGAAATCTTTTTCCTGAAATAGAGAAATAACCACGCTTGTTACGCTCCATAACGGATGAGGGTGAACGGACTGGTAAATGGAAATATGCACATTAATATGGATACTTAAACAAGAACCTGGATTCAGCAGAGACAGCAGGGAACCTTTTTTTTTTTTTTTTTTTTTTCAATGAAACCTTGAAGATAAAGTAGAGCACGAGCGCTGACCTGGTTTGGTGTAAGGGACACACACACACACACATTGACACACATTCACACACTGATTCCGGCTCAAGAATCTTCTGTAGCTTTGGGGGACATCCAGCTGAACTCGGGACACAGAAACTAATGGACAAAGTAACTCATGGAAGAAAAATAAACAGCAACAAGGACGCGTGCTTCTACGTGACTTGAGAAGTGGACTTGGTTGAAAGGAAGAGAGTGAAAATGTGAGATTAAAAGACACTTATTTTTACAGCTATTTATCATTATCTCAGTCTCTTGTGGACTTGTGGGTAATATTGTATTCATTAATTTTCCCTTAAACAAAAGAAGCACTAAATAGCACTGACCACATTTCTATGTTTGTTTGTGTTCGTTATATGTTGTTTTCACTAAAGTACAATCACTCATTTGTTCAACTGTACAAATATGGCTTTAACAGTTCTGTGCAGTGTGTTTTTTTTCTTTCTTTATTGCCACTGAGTCACTTAAAGTGGAAATCACAACGAGTGAGCTCCGATTGAACATCTGACATTTCTATCTAAATGCTTTGCCACCAAAACAAGAAAACACACTTCAGTCTGTACTTTGCTACTTTTATATCATCTGCATACTTGAGTAGACTTGATTTCAGGTTGGTTATTTAATGTCTGAAATCCAAATGCCTTTTTTTTTACGCTTAAGCTGTTTTTTGTTTTTTTTATTTGATTACTTTTGTAACTTTGCTTCGGGTCTAGGAGCCTCTGCTTCTGAATTCCATAGGGTGCCTGGACTTGATTATATTTGGTTGCAAGTTCATTTATTTGACTTTTGATTGATTTCTAGCAAAGTGTATTTCACTCATACGTGTTAGTGACTGGATATTTATACAGTGTTTTATTATCTCAGAGTGTGTCCTCAGCCGCTTCAGGTGTGCCAAGAGAACTCTGTGCCCATGATGTCACACACTCATGTTCGCTTGCATGTTTAGCCACAGCGGTAAAGCAGCCATTATAACAGCTTCTTTTAAACTATACTTACATACATTAATCTAATATCCATGAAAGCGCCACAAATGCAGAGTCGTTAACACAAACATGCACACTCACGAAATGAAAGCATGGAGCCGTCCTGCTATGTTGCCTTTGTGTCCAATGTTGCCAACTCTTTTTGCTCAGGATTTCAGTTTAATGCTGCATTCCTTTGTCAACACAATCCACATACATAGGATTACATTTACATGCCAAAGCAAAAAAAAAAAAGGATCACAGAGTGAATGCTGTTCTAACACGCATGCACATGCACATACACATTAGCAGCAGGTACAGAGGGTGCACCAGAAATGTAATACGAGGTGACAAACGGGTGGGTTTACTCAGGAGCAAAAATTAATAGAGATCAATCAAGTGATCTGACAAAGAATGAAGCTCTGCTATTTTGGATGAGGTGCAGCTCGTGTGTAAACCCACGCTGACTGTTTAAAAAAAGAAAATGTACGTGTGGTTAAAACGGGTAAGCTTGGTTTTTGTCCACTGGGTGGCAGCAAAGCCTTATAAATCCAGACGATACAGAATTGTGTGAGGTACTGTGTTTAGAGGGTAAATGAAAAGTGAAACAGGGTAGATACTCTCTGTGCTATCTGAGACTTCAGCTTGTTTCACATGTGCACCCACTTGAATCAGAGATGTCATCAGAGGTGCAACAAGCAGAGACGTTTAAACCTGAAAGAGAGAAATGTGTAGTGCTGCAGTATGTGATTGTGCATTTGTCCTCTAAGCCTCCACTGCTATTATTATTTACTTTGATGCGACTGAATGTGTTGCAAAGCAATATTGCTCATCTTCCTGCTCTGTTGCCATGACTTGTATGTTGCTAAGCAGCTTTCTGAACTTATAACCACAAGCAACCGGAGCTTCACTTACTGAGACGACTGCACTGATCCTTCATTTCCTCTGCGTGAGTCCTTGTCTGGCTATGTTGCTTTATATGACACAAACTAAAAAAAATAAAACAGAAGAGAGGAGGGCGGCTCTGTTTGTGATCAACATCCTATTTTTTAAAAGTCTGCTCTTAAATACACACATTTTTCTTGTGCCCAGAGTTAGCCTACATACAGTCTTTTCTGTTTTTGCGTGAGCACAGAAATCTTGCTCGTTCTCCACATTTTTATCAACATCATCACTTGACTATCTTATAAAATGCTCTAGCAAATATGACAGATGTATTGTTGTCAATACTGTTGCTGTTTCTCTTGTGGTCATGGGAGGAGTCGAGTCGTCATAACGAGTTTGTCCAACACTGTAAAAAAAAATCATGTTTAGATTTGGTTTGACTTGAAATTGCAGGAATTCCAGCTGCATTTTTGTATTTTTAATTTCCCATAAACACTTTATTACTCACTCTAATGCAGATACTTCACACTATCAGGTAACAAATAGAAGTCTGTGCTAGTGTTTTAGACACAATTATTGTACAACTTTTGACACTTGACTGTCATGTAAAGCTAAACTGTAGTTTCCACACTGAATTATAATAAATTATATATGTATTATAAAAATGTACAAAAACCCAAATTCAGGTTATTCCTTGACTTCTGACCTCAAACTCTTCAATATGAATGTGCATTAAATTGTCGCCCTAGGGGTGCAGGTGGTATAGTGGTTAGTGCTTGTGCACCATGTATGGGGGCCGTAGTCCTCCAGGTGGGCGGCCCGGGTTAGAATCTGACCTGTGGCTCCTTTCCCGCGTGTCATTCCCCACTCTCTCTCTGTCTCTCTCTCCCTGATTTCTGACTCAAATAATAAATCCAAATAAAGCTTTAAAAAAAAAATGGTCTCCCTGAGAACCAAATACTGCAGCACCAATAAATAGAGGATGTCTAAAAAAACGTTTTTTGCACTGCAACAGGGAGCAGCCATGTTTTCATCACATTTTCGACATGCAACAACATGCCCTCACCTTTTGACCCATAAAATTGTACAAAATGATGACTAAGGAATCAGAGATCAGGGGCAAATCTTTTCTAAAATAGCACTGTTAGCTGATTTGTCATTGAGTATCACTATTGGAAAACTATCAGAAGCTATAAAAATGTAATATTCCAACGTATCAATGCAGAAAGAGCCTTGGCTCTCTCACTTCAAACCTCAGAAGACACCTTTTTTTATTTCTTGCTGAATATTTAATGCTGCTGGATTACCTGTAAGATGTCAAACCAATTGTTAACGCCATGTAGTTGTTATGTACATGCAGCCTCTATGGCGCTCAAACAATAATGTCACATACAATGCATTATTGTCTTACACAGTGATGTGTACAGCCGGGAATGGGCTTTCTGTTCAAACACCGTCGAGCAAAATGTCCTCAGTATTTAAGCTAATTAATATGTAACTGATAACAAGATTGTCAATATCACACCAGATTCTAGCTGTTGTCACTGGCCTGTTTAAGATAATGTAATTATTTCATTTGAGTGGAGGGTGACAGTGAAGGTAATGGAGCTTGTGGCAATAACACTGTTAACTGATGCGATCCTGGTGATGATGATGACAATTAATTATTGTGGAAGATACAAATAAAGTCAATCTGCTTGTTATACCAGGGTTTGGTCTGCTGGGATTCTTTTACACAATTCTACATTTACTATTTTACAGATATATGAGGGTATAGAGAATATTCTTGGTTAATTCCTACAACAGATTTCTTTTTCTTTGTTCATCTGAGCTCTCCCGCTCTTTGGTAATTACGGATAACATTTCATTTGTGACATTTGTTGCTTGCTGAAGCAGTGAATTTTGTTTGCTCATTTTGAAACAGGATATGTAATGAGCGTGAGTACAGAATAAATTTGCGATCAAATCAGATGTTTACATCATTTGTGAATATAGTCCCTCTCGATTACTTGAATGCAGACTTTAATGCAATTTAAAGTCACATATTCTCCTCCTTTTTAAACAGTTTAAATAAGTCTCTGAGCTCCCCAAAACATGTCTGTGAAGTTTCTAGTCATAAATCCACTTTGATCCTGTATTTTATCATGACTGTAGATCCCTCTGTTTCAGCCTGGTTCAGAACAGACTGTTTCTGTGTCTGTAGCTTTAAATGTAAATGAGCTGTGTCTGACCATGCCCCCTCTCTGGAAGGGCTTTCTCGTTCCATGCCCTATTGTTTACGGTGAGAAGTCAGACTCAGAGGGCAGAACAAACACCTAGCTGTGGGAGTGTCATCTACCTGGGGGAGGAGTTACCGCCCTTTGTGATGTCATGAAGGGAAAATCTCCAAACGGCCTGTTTGAGAACACATTTTCTGAAATTTGGAGCAGGCAAAAGACGGAGAGGATGGACTTTTCCAATAATTTGGGGGTTGGTAAACAGGCTAGAGACACATATTAGTGTTCGAAAAATATGGTAAAGTGTATTTTACATAACATCTGACCTTTAAGGTTCTGTACTGCCTGAAAGTGCAAATTTTACACCTCAATTTACTCATCATGTGAAGTTTTATTCAGCCTGTGAAATATTTTGTAAAATGTCTTCTTTGGCAAATAGAGTGACGCCTCCAAAGGTTGACATAACGAACCAAGTGGTCACCTCATTTCAGACTTCAGACTACTAATTTGTAAATTATAAAGATAGACATCTATGCATACTTTTTAAAGATAAGTGAGCTTGAATAAAAAGTGCAACCCTTAAACCAAGTTACCTGATAGATTAAGTGACCTTTTGTGAACTTAAATCTGTACAATTCAAAGGTAAGGTGGTAACTTAAGTAAGTAACTTCAATAAATAGAGAATATATTCCAGAGCTTCCTAAACAAATAGTTTGCATTATGGGAGGTGTAGTAATTTGAATACCATCCATGTAGCGTGAGGGCAGTGTGTCTGTGTGGCTAACTTCATGTGTCTCGTATTCTTCACAGTCAGTTTCAGGCTTGTGTTTCGGTACATCCAATATTCATGAAGGTTATTAGATTTTCTCTGTTATTCACAGCCTGACTATGACCAGCTGTGAGCTATATAACCTGCATTATTCATGTTTATGAAGCGGCATGTCTGCATGATTTTCTCTGGATGAGCTTTGTCTTGTATATGTGTGTTTTGGGAGCACTTCCATCATGTTAAACTGGTTTGAAGTGCTATGTGTTTGTCCCCTATATATCATCGTCATAGAAACAGTCACTACAGAGATCCTGGAGCTCAGGAGGGTGAGGAGTTCAAAGCAGCATCCTGATGTATTTAAATGTGTCTGCTGCAGTTCTTCACATTGAGCTCTTTTTGTCATGCATTTGATTTGATTTTGCGTCGTATAGATTTTGACAACAAAGTAGCTCCAACAGAAGCATCTGTCAACTCTGTTCTGTGGGGATTTCTCTCATCCAATGGGACTGTCAACACGCTACACACATCAGCTTTCATCTACTTTTTCAAAGGACACACTCTGTTTCATGTAGACTGATGCCACAAGTTTCTGCTGTCATATGGAGCTGTTGCATGAAAACTAGAGGTCAGATGTTGCTCCTGATATCACAATGCGGGCTAGTAGTTAAGACACCGGGGGGCAGCAGAGCATTATAGTATTTCTTGTTTCCTGGATGTGGAGCACATGGGTCGAATTTTAAAGTCCTCTTCCATTCAAAATTGTTTAGTGATTGTTGTTACTTCAATTGAAGGTTTGGACCTTTGCTTTGCTACGCTGAATAATTTATACTCAGAAACTGGAGTTTTCAAAGTTTCTCTATAGCCACAGTCAGCGAACATTTACAGGGGAGGATTTTAGTATCCCAAAGCCAGATAATGAGGGCAATCACAGCCAAAATATGCTCTATTTTCCTGTGGACTGTTAAAACTTCCATATTGTGAGAGGAGACATTTCAATTTGGTCTGAAGTTTTGTTTGCTAGATTTACATTTTCATATATCTTTGGACACTTTACATTGAGGGGGGGAAAGCTACACTTTTAAGAATTTCCAAGTAGTTTATTGAATTTCTTGTTGTGGATCCGTCAAATATCAAATAAATGTGAAGTTTCAGACTAGTTAGAATTCAAAGCACAGTAATGTTATGCTTTTTCAAACGTCTGGGGAGGAACTTTAAAGCACTTTTCACACAAGAGCCCTTAATCATATCGATTTGAGTTGTTTGTTGTTGTCATTGGTAAGTGCTTCTCTGTTTACATGTGGATTTTTTGTTTGTTTATGGTTTGTATTTATTGACGCTTCTGTTGAGACAGCTAAATGTGTTCCGCACTTGAAACCGAGAGAGATTTCCCCAAAGCGAAAACAAAGTGTACGATATCGCATCGTAGTGCATTGTTTCTGTATTATATCATTTCCTATAGTATTGAAGATTAAGAGTAGACTAGCATGTCATATAGTATCGCTATGTAACATATCGTGTCATGTCATATTGCGTCATATAATATCGCATGGTGTGGTACTTTTGATCTTTTGATTACTTGTGTAAGTAATGAAGGAGGCACAAATCAACAACCCTATGTTTGGTATCTCTGCTTGAGTAAGCTGTTAAATAAGTATGAATTAATCCATTTGTGCTTATTACCTCCACAGCAGGCTCCCTGATTGGTTAACAGCAGCAGAAGTGTCTTCCTGCCATCCAACATGGCAGACGCACAAACAGTCTCATGTGCCTCCACTCTCCCTCTCGCTGTGCTGGCACTGATGTCTGTGTCTGTTTACAGACGTCTGTTCCCCCCTCCCACCAGCTGCCCCGTGTTGACAGTCTTCTTGATGCTTGATGTTTCTCCACAGATCGGCCTTTGTTGTCTGAGCATTGCAGAGCTCTTGGCTGCACCTGCGGCTGTTTGCCCAGCAATCTTCTCCTGGACCGGAGGGGGGGAGGGGGGGGGGGGGGGGGGGGGGCGTGAGGAAACATGTTGACTGTTGGAGGCAGGTTGAGGTAAAGACTAATAAAAGATAACCTGATGTGATATTGGAGGAAATATGGGAGGAGAGACATTATTTTCAGAGATACTTATTTTCTAATATTTCCAGCAGCCTGCCGTTCCATATGTAAAATATGAGCTATGGGCATACATAGCTCATATACATTGTAGCTTTGATATAGTGATACATTTCCAATATTTATAAGTGACTGAGCCGGCTTTTGCAGGAGCGTCCTTCTCCTGTGACCACTTGGTGGTGCACTAGTTTCACAGCTTTAAACCTTTTAAAGTCCTTTTCCTCAAATCAAAGCTAAAGCCAAAACAAGAAAAGCTCCACATCAAGGCAGCAGCTCCCAATTTCTCAGAAATACCCAAAAGACAGGAGGGATTAACAGACATTTGAAGAAGTTTATTTGAGGAAAAAAAAGAAAAAACTCTCTTCTAATTGGTGAAAAATTAAGCCTGATTGTACAGGCCTGGATCCATAACAGTACTTAGTTATTGTGAAAAAAATGTGTGACTGTTAATGTCACTTCCTGTGTGAATAAAGTTGCTGACATAATTTGGAAGCAGTGATCAGAATATATGTGTGAAATGTATAATGCAGAGCCTGAGAGGGTAAAATTCTAAAATTAATTGCATGAACTGTCTCTGTGGTGGTTATAAGCAGAGCACTTAGGGGTTTGGGGGTTATAGTCAAGCTCTTAGGTGAAATAACAATTTGACTGGAAATGGGTTTCTAATCTAATGCAATATTGAAAATGGCTTTCATATGGTTTTCTGATACATTCAGCTCTGTTGAAGGGATGCAATCTTCCTGCTTACTTTTTCCTTTCTTCCTTTACAAACAGCTTTCAAATAGTTCACAGTGTGGCAGTTAAATTAGTCTGGAGTACAAGAAGAGCAGAGCATTCAGGAAGAGGGAAAGAGGAGGGGCAATGGAGGGGGGGGTAAAAGGAGTAGAAGGAGTATTTTATTTTAAGCCTCACACACACACACATTCACAGACTGGCTGCAGCAGCATCAGCCTGCTGTGGAGTCTCCTGCTGAGTGGGGCTGAAGTCAGTGGAGCGAAGGATGAGGCTGAAGGAAGGAAGGAGGGACGGGAATAGGAGCGAACAAATGAAAAAAAGTGAGAATCCCCCCCCAAAAAAATATGAAGCGATATAACAGACCATTCTCAAAATAACACACTTATCTTCTGTCTGATGCTGTATTTTTCCTCTTTACAGGAACCTTTTTGTTTTATTTGGACCTCTTCCTTTCTTTCCTTTTCTTTCCTGTGTGTGTGTCAATGCAAGGAATTGTCTCAATCTCAATCTTGGTTGTGGTACTACCCCCCACCCCCCCCCTCCTCCTCCATGTCTCCCGCAGGCCCCCCGGTCTACCTCTCCTCTCTGTCTAATAATAGCCATAATGTGTTATGAGTATGCAGTCTGTCTCGCCTCGCAGCAGCTCCGCACTCCCCCTCCCTATCCCTCTCCTCCCCTTTCACTTCTGCAGTTACAATGCTGCCTCTCTCACCTCCCCTTCTCAAATCTACCCTTTCACTTGTATCGCCGTATGATATTTGTCGCCGCGCCTGTGTCTTCTCACCCTCTTTCCCTTCCTTTCCCATCCTACTCTTCCTCATTTTCTCAGCGTGAGCATGTGTCTTCTCTTCAACCCTCCCACGTCTTATCCCTCGTTTCACTCCTTTTTT